TGGGGAGGTGTCTGCAGAATGAGGGTGGGAGTGAATGGTCCACATTGTTTCCCAATGGCCTGCCCCTCCGGTCACCCTTTCCCAACCTTTCCGTTGGCCTTATGTGCGCTGCCACGTTTATTTCTCTTCCCTTCTCCTCTCAGAACAGGACGGGATGTGGGGTGCGGGGCCTGAGTGTAAAAAACAAAGCCAAAAACCACTGGCTGGGAGGGGAAGTAAGCGGATTCTTCGCCAAGACTATCCAAGTCTTTTCGTTTCCCCCTCCCCCTCTCCCCGCCGCCCACCAAAATCAGCTGCGTCTGAGAGCCCAGGGTCTGGAAAGCCGGCCTGGAGCAGGCGAAGCGGAGGCATCCGCGGCCTCGGACTCCCGCATCCCGAGGCTGCCCCTACTCAGGGGTCCCAGGCCGAACCCACCCTCACACCCACCTGCCCGGATCTGAGGGAATTTTCTCCTCCTCCTCCTCGCCTGGGTTAAACGCACGGCAGTGCGCAGCGCAATAGAGTTGGTACCCAGAGGAGGACGGAGGACGGCGGTCAGGGCTTTAAGTACCTTTGCCCACGTCAGCTCCTGGTCACGTGAGGGCCGCATCGCCAGTAAGCTTGGGTCCCCAATTTCCACTCCCACCGAGAGTACGAGCTCCCTCCTTTGCCCCCACTCCCACCTCACCCTGCCACAGCTGGTCCTGTCACTCATGTTTTGTCTTTGTAGTTCCGAGGCCAAAAGTAGCCCCTCTCCCTGTCGTTAGAATTTGCCTTTCTCTGGTTATCAGGGAGGGGCTACATCTTCTCAGAGGGCTATTGACAATTTGTACTTTTTGTTGGGGAATTGCCTCATCCCTTCCTGGGCTACTGGACACTCTTCCCTCGCTCCACCTCCAGTCCCCACCGTTTCCCTTGCAATTGGGTCCCTGCTCCAGTATAGGTAAGGGACAGGGTGTCAGAAAGGAGGCAAGGAGTGAGAGTGGAGTCAGTACTTCTGGAATACTCTTTTCTTTTCTTTTTTTCTTTTTTTTTTCAAAAATTATCTTCACGCCTTATTTTTATAGTAAGAAAATACAAGAAAACAAGGATTCAGTGTGGGAAACAGCACAAAAACAGGCGAGCATGTTTTATAAAAAAGATTTCCCACTTCCATTGGAAGGCACCATTAATTTTGGTCAATTTTTTACCTCATAGAAAATGAATTCCCTTGGCCACATAGGAAATAGTTTTCAGAACATGCCAAGATATTCGAACATCTGAAAATGAATTTTTTTTACAAGATAAGCATATTTCCATATGATCTGTAAATTGACCCATGGAGAGATGTTCAGTTGTCCAATCTTATTTATTTTGGACAAATAATATCCTACTTTTTCTCCTTTTGGGACAGCTTTTAAGTTGGATAAACAAATGATCCTGTCTTGTTCTGTTAGAGAAACACATTTATTTAATATTCCCAAACCATTGCTGACTGCTGTGTGAACCTCCTGTAATTCGATGGCTGTAACCATGACAGTTTTGAACACCTGTCCCCGGATTAGGTTCCAGTTTAGCGATGCAGCTCTGGAAAAAAGGAAGAGCTGTAAGGCCAAGGAAACTAAAAGCATGAAGGGTGCAGGGTGGTCAAATCCTCTCTGCCCTATAAAAGGGGAGAGATGCTGTTCGCCTACCCCCTCCCATATTCCAGAGCTTCTAATTCCCTGTATTCAGGCACCTGATTCTGCTGCTTACTCCATAAATACACATAGATAGGTGACCAAGGTGGTGACTGGTAAATGCCTTTGGCTCCTTCCCACTTTGCCCCAAATTCCCACAGGGTTAAATCGGCATGCATAGAAGGGAGTATTGCTGTTCCCACCTGCCCCTGCAGCTGAGGATTTCCATGAAGCCTGAAGAAGGGGTTGCTGGGGGAAGCTTCCAGGCCTTCCTGCTGTCTGCCCTTATTCACAGTGCTCTGGTGAACGGTGTTCCTAACATTGTCTGCTAGTACCACCTGGCCTGAGAGGTGCAGCCTGCTGAACCTCTCACCTCTGGCCTCCTTACCTCCAGGGCACCCAGGAAAAGCCTAGTCTTGATGGAGGGTCACTGCCTCCCAGTCCACACCCACCTCAACCAAATGTATGCCCAGGTCCAAGGAACAGTCTTCACTGACCACACTGATTAACCTAGAGCAGGTGTTCTCACCTGCCCAACTCTGTGGACCACCTGAAATTATATTCACCTGCAAGATTTTGTTTGTGATTGTATATTAAGTGCATGTTTTTTCCAGGAGTAGAGGTTATTGACCTCATCCATTTCTGAAGGGGTCTATGACCCCTCCCCCAGATATTAAGAACCAATACAATGGCCTAGAGGGTCTGCATTATATATAATACTCCAGATTAGGAATCTTGTTTTTTTGTTCTGATGATAAAAGTAATATATACTAGTGGTTAAAAAATATTCAAAACAACAAAGAAATATATAAAGTACATATACAGGGAAAAAACCCTGTTTTATCTTTTCCACTCCCAGCCACTGCTAACAATTTCCAACTTTCTTTTTATGCACATTTTAGTAAGTGCATTTATGCTTATTAATCAAGTACCAAATTCAACAACAATAACAAAAAAATAAGCATTGGGATTTGTATTGTAATTGCAGTAAATCTGCAGATTAATTTGAGGAGCATTAACATCTTAAAATTGAGACTTCCCTTCCAGGAATATAATATGTACACTCCATTTTGCTTCGTTGTACTTTTCTGTTTGTTTCTCAAATTTCATGAGTTTCTTCAGCTAAGTAATTTGTATTACTTGTTAGATTTTTCTTAGGTATTTAGTAGTATCTGTAGCTGAACTACTGTTCCTTTGCTGAATTACAATTTCTGATAGGAAATTTTCTGTTTAAGGGAAAATGTTCTACTGTTATATGTTTACTTTGTATCTGCCAATTTTTGTTATCTGTATTATTACTTCCAATAGTTTTCAGGTGATACCTTCGGTTTGTCTAGGTATGTATTATACGTAAACATCTGCAAATGATGATTTTTCACTTCTTCCTTTTCAATACTTATGCCTCTTTTTCTTTCCTTTTCTGCATGTATTATACCGATCAGAACCTTCCTGAAAGCCTCCTGATCTCATTCTTGAAGTCAATGGAGATGCCTTTTTTGTTTTATCATTTAGTGTAACTTTTACTGTTTCTAATATATTCTCTTTTTTTTCAAGTTACTTTCACTTATGTTTACCAGTATCACACATACACACAAATAGTACAAAAAAGTACTATCAACGAGTAAAGGCAAGTCGTAAGTTCTGTGGTTTTGATAGTGCATAGGGAGTGACCAATCTGCCAGTTGAGAAAAGCTTCTGATATATGCTTCCTTAGCTTAAGGATATTTTCTTTTATATCTAGTTTAATTCAACCAAGAATCTCTCATTAAATTACATATAATTCTTTACTTCATGAATGGAATTTCCTATTTCTATTTTACTAATACTTTTTTAAAAATTAGAAATGGCTGACATTTTATCAAATGCTTTGATTGTAAGGTTGCTTTTCTCCTGCAGTTTGCTGTTGTAATGAATGATGTAGATAAACCAGTCTCCTTTTCACTCTTGTATCCCACAAATATCTTCACTACAAGTGACAATGCCCTACCTTAGTCAACCTTATTACCTTTCTGCCTTATCTTCTACCGCTCTCTCTCTCTCTAGCTCACTCTGCTGCAGTCATCCTGGTTTCCTTGATGTTCCTGGAACATACTGGACATGTTCTCTTCACAGAGCCTTTGCATTTGCTTGTCCCCCCTGCCTGTGATGTTCTTCCCTCAGGCATCACCATATTTAGATCACCCACTGACTTCAGGTCTTTACTCAAAGGTCACCTCTCTAGTGAGTCCTTCCCTGGTTCACCCTTTCTAAAAGTTCAACCCATCTCAACTTTTCATATCCTTTTCCTTTCTTTTATATTTTTCTCTTTAATACTGATCACTAACAACATACCATATATTTTGTTTATCTTGTTAATTGCATGTCTCTTTCACTAGAATGTAGGGGCCATGAGATTAGAGATTTAGGTCTGCTTTATTCACTGCTTTAACCACAGCATCGAGAACAATGCATGGCACGCTCAGTAAATGTATTGAATAAATAAATAATTGAATAAATGGTTTTCCAACATTAAACCACTCTTGTAACCCAGAAATAAAGCCTAGTTGGTATGGCATATTAGCAGATATGTAAGCTCTCAGGTAAGTAGATAGCTAAGTCAGGATGTTGTCATGTGACAAGTTGTAGAAGACAATGAGATTGCTTTTTAGTGGAGTGTAAAACTCATTATGCAGTGAGAATTATTGTTTATGATAACTGTCTTTTTTTAAAAAATAATCTTTTTTCTAAAATGAAAATAGTTCTATCATATTTTCCGATATTAAAAAGAATGCATGTTTGTGTAAAAAAAAAAGAGTAGAATAGTGTTAACAATAAAGTAATACAATCTATTTCTGCTCTCTGCTTCGTATCCTGACATCCTTCTTCCACCCCCATTTTCAGGTTATTTCAGGACGGCATAGGTAAATATTAATGATTCCAAAGCAAAGAGGTGCAGAGAGCAGAGAAGAGAATGGAACCATTCCGCAGAAGAGAAGTTGAAATGGCCAGTAACCCAGAAGAAGATGTTTTCTCTCCCAGTAACAAGAGAAGACAACACTTTTGTTGAGTGTGCAAAGACTAAAAAGAGCAAGAGCAACAGTGACCTGCGTAGTGGTGGTGGACGGG